CGGTCTGCTCGTCCAGCCCGCTGCAGCAACTTGGCGTGCGGCCTCCGCTGCTGCACGTAGGCAAGGCGCCGCCGGTTCGCCCTCGAGCTCTTGCACTAGCCGTGCTGCTGCATCGGGGTACCTTTGGCGCAACACCGGGAGCGCATCTGCCCACGCCGCCCAGTATGCTGCCTCCCAAGCTCGGCGGCAAAAAAGCGACCTGGCGAGCAGCAGCCCAGTCTTCTCCCTCGCCGGGTCCTTGGTCGCCGAGCAAGCCTTCAACTACTGCCCAGACCGCATCGTCGTGACCGCGAGCGCACGGTAGGATGTCGGCTGGGGGCACGTTGCGGAGCAGATGCTGTGCACGAGGCGCCGCGCAGAAAGCGAGCAATAGCCAGGCGCACTGGACATCGGGGAGCTGGACGAGTTGCCGAAGTAAGCCGGCCTCAGCATCGAGGCGGTTAGCGGCCTGGGTTTGAACGAAGTCGGGGTGACCTATGGGCACGCCGAGGGCGACGAAGCCACGCTGCTCCGGGGGTAGGTTGCCGCACCAGACGTCCGGGCCCAAGACGTCGACGCCGGGCGGCGCGTCCCCTCCTTCGGCGTTGAAGACCCGCGTCTTGCCGAGGTTGACCTCGACCCCAGCACCTCGCTCAACCTCGCCGGTGACGACCCGCAGGAGCGGCGCTGCGCGTTCCGGCACAGTGACGACGTACAGGTCGTCCAAGAACGCCGCGAGACGCTCATCCGGCCGCAAGGAGGCACTAGCCGCGACTAGCGAGTCGTGCTGGCCGAGCGCGTAAAGTCCCGGTGCGAGAGGGTCACCCTGCTCGACACCTTCAGCCTGCGCGATGTCGTGCACGCGTTCCTCGTCGTCCCACCACAGTAAGTAGAGGTGCGCACATACGTGGCGCGGGTGAATGGCAGGAGCGACGGGACGGTATCGCGTAGCTTGGCAAGTATAGTCGCGCGGCTGATGGTGTCGTAGGCGCTTCGCCCATCAAGAGAGACAACCGTGGCCCTGGGGTCGAGTTCGACAGCTGCACGCAGCATCGCCGCCAAGCTATCAGTCCCAGCGCGGGTCTGCAGTGCAAACTGAATCGGGCGGGTGGCCTCGTCAAGTTCCCCGCTAAAGGCTCTCGCCAGCGCTCGGGAGACGAGGCGTCGAAACACGTCCCTTGTGGCGATGCCTCGGACGGCAATGGCATCTAGCGCTGCCTGTGGGGCGTGCGCGCGGGCGGTGACGTTCACTGCAAAGGTGAATGATTCGAGTGCCTCCGCATCATCAAGAAGCAGCTTGTACAGCTCAACGGTGGCGCCGGACAGCCCTGCAGCCGAGCCGCGCTTGGAAGTGCGCAGCGCTTCCCCAACCTGGTGCGCCGTACGAACGACCTCCTCAGAAGGTCTGTACTGCAGAACCTCGGGGGCCGGCGAGCGCAGCGCATGTGGCGGTCGCCAAGCCGTGTCCGTCAGCGCCTCAAGCGTTGCGGCATTCCCAGGGGCCAAGGCCGCTGCAGTGAGCATCTGGCGTGCTCGCGAGAGCTGTCCGCGCCGGACTTTGGCACAGGCTGCGGCAGCTCGTGCCTCTTCGTTGTCCCCACCGCGGCGACGGGGGTGCGCTTGTTCGTGTTCAGCCGCGGATTGGGCATGCAACTCGTCGAAGCGGCCTTGGCGAAACAGCTCAATCCGGCGCATGAGAGCTGCTCGGCCGTCAGCCCCGGTTTGGGCGGAACGCGCGAGGAGCAGGCGTGGCAACAGTAGGAAGAGCTTCCAAGCCCGCACACGCTCTGCCTCATCGCGACTTTCGTGCGCAGCGCGGATCGCGCTGAGCGCAGCAACGAGTGCGCGGCGCACACCTGTGATGAGGAACCGCGGCACAGTTTGAAGGGTGGGAACGGGGTTGCGAAACTCGGCGGAGAGGTCCGATCCATCCAACCAACTGCCAGCTGCTCGGGTAAGAGCGACGGATGTGCCGGCAGAGTTCGCAGGCGGAGCTGCCGTAGCTATGTCAGCTCCGTCACTGGCTGATGCCGCGTGGTCCTCCTCCGGCGCGGGCTGGCCAGGCTGCAGCGCGGCCGCGCCGCTGCCGCGGGCACCTCGGCGTCTGCGCGGGAGGCGAGGGCGCGCGGCAAGCGCATCCCTGCGTTCGCAGCCGTGGCGTGTAAGCTCAGCCGCATCATATCCGTTTCGCGCATCTGGCACCGCTGCAGGCGTGGCAGGTGGCTGAGACGCATCTCGACTGGGCGGGCTGCGCGGCCGTTGGCGAGAGCGGTCGGATTGACGGTCGACTGCTAGCGCGAACGCCGCGCCGCCGTAGCACTGAAGCAGGGCTTCTTGCACAGTGGCTATCAGGTACCGTCCTGCTCACACAACTGCCGGACTGCCCAGCCAACATGGACGAGGGCGCTGTTAGGCAGACCGGCGCGCTCGAGGCGCCCAAGGAGGTCCGGCAGGTGATGGGCATGAGACGGTGCTGCCTCGGTTGCATGCCTGACCGCGTCGGCTAGCACGTGGGGCGCCACCGGGCTGGACGTGGCCAACAGCCGTCGGGCCGGGTCCCACCAGTCAGCAGCTCGGGGGTCGGCTCGCCAGGCCTCGACAGCAGAGGAAGTGAGGTCGGCGGCGGCGGCATGCAGCAACGGCACATACAACCAAGAGTTGGTAGCCTCCTGTACGTGACCGATGGGCGGGCCCCGCGAGAGCCAGAACGCTCCCCTGCTCGCTGGAAGGCAAGCTGCTGCCTGATGAGGCGTTGTGAGAGTACCGCGCGGTTCCTGCGGCGCCGCAGGACGGGCCGATCCAGCGCAACCCGGCATGCAGCTGAGCTGTCCCCGCCCAGTTGCGCGGTCGTACTCCCATCGCAAGGCACGTCCGCAACGGCTACAAGGCTGTCCCGCATCGGCCGGTACGTCCAGGTCCGCAAGTCTGACTTCTTGCGCGCAGCCAGGGCAAAGCCAGCTTGGTTGCCACGCCGCTATGCCCGCCGCGTGCCGGATGGGGACAGGCGCCCATTGCATGGCACGGTGTGGCAGCCTGACGAAGTCAACTCCATTCGCCCCGTTCACGGCCGCGACATGATGACAACAAAGAACGCGTATCCCCGGTGGAGGCGGCGGCTCAGGCGCGTCGTTGGTTGTGAAGGTGCGCAGTGTGTAGTCCCGGACTGCCCCTCGCACCGTATCCTCACCCGTCAGCCTCGACGGCATCGGGACTCCCTCGCGCTCGCATGCCGCACGGACCTCTGCATCATGCCGGGCAGTCCAGCCACCTGGAGTGCAGTCCGGGCAGCGGCTGTGTCGGCACAAGGAGCACAGCAGCTCAGAGGGTCCGGAAG